ACAATTTTTTTTCCTGCAAAGGGAAAAGAGAGTGCTTAAAATCACTGATCATTATAGCAGACAGGACACCTGAACGCTGGAAAAACAAAGTCACAAAAGAAAACTAAGTATAGATTTTACTATATATGATACAGGAAGCTAAAAAACAAATTGAGCTGCAGTGTAAATGTTTACAATGTAAATGGCACCCTTTTTGTCATAAACATTTGCTAAATAACTAAATGTACATTCCAATAAAGGCCAGCAGGCTGAAGAACTGCATGTGCGAATTAATGTTGATTTGTTATTTAAATATGACAGGTTTCAATCAAATCTATTCAAAATCTAACATGCCATTGACTTTGCTCAGCTTAAAAAAGGCTTTTCCTTACTAGTCAGGGTCTAGATTATCAAATTTATTTTTATCTCCTTTCTTTCATAATCTTTATTTATTGCTTAAATTCTTCTTGAATTCTTTCACAACATAAACTGACAGATTCATTTTTACTGCCCTTTTGGTTCCTTCTGTTCTTGCATTGTTCCATGCTATGACTTTTAAAAAAGAGATCCTTAGAGCATTTTTATATATGTCTCCTCATAGGTAAGACCCACTGGGTGGCTTTATCTGCAAATTATACTCAGATAGACAGATGATTATATCTTTCTAAAGAAAATTTTCTTAATACATTCAGATAAACTAGTATGTTTTAATCCACAATCAACTGGCATAATTTATTAGTCCACCAACACCTAGTCACTTTAAATAATCTATAATTGATTAAAAGGAACTGGTGGCATATCTCAAATCATTAGTTATACTATCAGTTTTTAAATAATCATAACTAAGAATCTGTACTCAGTTAAGCAAAACTTATTATTATCAAATTAATGTATTAACTAGTCTACTATTTATTCTAATTGCTTCTCCCAAGAGTAATACATTTGTCAAAGGCCTGAGGATCTAATTGTACTGATTAATGTTTTATGATACAGTCAAAAGAGAACATTCAGCTAGTAGTGCTCTTTAATTATTACTCAAAAACACCCATTTCTTATGTTGTCATTCAGTGTTCTTACCATCATGTTTAATCCACAGATTACTCAATGAATTACCTGTTGATTTAAAAAATATTAATGCTTAGCATTGATAATGACATATCTTAACATTTATTCTTTTGAGTATGTACAGGATTACTTCAAGATGTAAGAAACAGTACTTACAGACAAGCAGCTTTGTGGAGCAGACGTTTATGGTTTCAGCTTTGTTTTTCCTCAGCAATCTCAACAAATATGTTTGTGTGTGATGCCCTCAGGAGGTGCTACTGGACAATCTGGGTGGATGTTGTTCCTTCTGTGGTTCACCTGGGGCAGCCTCGAACCTCGGGAATGCTTCCTGCTTTGTTCAAGTGAAAATCCACAGCAATAGGAGAAGGAAAGAAGAGCAAGATATTCCACAGGGCCACAAAGCTTAGCCCACAGATGAGACAGAGGACTGGGCCATTCATGAGCAACTATACGCCCCAATCTCAAATACATTTGCCCAACTCCAGTGATGTTTGGCAAAGTTGTGTCAATAGACACACACAGTCCTTCCATCTTTGAGAATTGAACTGAAAGCAGCATGCGTGCATTTGCATTCTGCTGTAAACAAAAACTTGTTTGCTCTCATGAGATCAGTGACTCAGGTGTGGCAAGTACAGTGGTGCCTCGCTTAGCGAGTGCACCGTATAGCGATGTTTCCATATAGCGATCCCTTTTTCGGGATCGCTATACGGAAACATACCCGATCTTCGCAATGGGGAAAACCCGCATTGCGAAGATCGGGTATTGCGACGGCCATTTTGGAGCCGCCGAACAGCTGATCGGCGGTTCCAAAATGGCCGCCGGAAGCCCGGAAATGGCTGCCGGCAGCCGTTTTC